CCACGCTGGTCCTCGGTGCCTCCTCTCGGGGACACTGCTTTCTTTTTTTTTTTTTTATCCTCACCCGAGGACATTTTTCTATTTTCTGTTCAGATAGAGTGGGAGGGAGAGAGAGAAACATCGACGTGAAAGGGACAATTTGAGCGGCTGCCACCCACACGACCAACCAGAGCTGGGGACAAACTGCAACCGAGGTACATGCCCTTAGCGGGAACCGAACCTGGGTGTCTCCAGACCACAGGCCGACGCTCTAACCGCTGAGCCAAACGGGCCAGGGCTCGGGGACACTGCTTTCTGAGCGATGACTGAGTCCACCCACTGAGAGACAGGCACCTGGCTAAGCTCCTGCGTCGGCCGTCGGGGCTCCAGGCTCACTGAGCCTGCTCTGAGCTGGGCTCCTGTGCCCACGGTGCTCGGGGGCCCTGGTGGAGCAGCGGCACCCCGGCTCCTCACTGCTGTCTCCCTGAGCCTACAGACTGCCCTGCAGGACTGGATCCGGTGGGCGCGGCATCTGGACGGTGCGCCCTCCTGTGGCGCAGCGTGGAGCTCTGTGCCCACGGGCACCGGGCGCCTGGGCCCTGCGCGTGCTCCCAGCCCAGGACCGACGTTCTGGCGGGAAGATTCCGGTAGACGTGGGGCCCGGGAGGCAGCAGCATGGACCCGGGTCACTACTGGTGCAGAGGACGCCTCAGGGTGGGTGTAGACCGGTCTGCCTGTCCGGCCGTGTCCCTGTGTGTCACTGTGTGACAGGAGGCCGTCATTAGTGCGGCCACACACTTACAACTCAGCTCAGCTTGAAAGCAGTAGAACCTTGGAAAACACCTTGGCTCCCAGCAGCAGGGCCGCTGCTTCCACGGGTCCCTGACCGGCAGGTGCGCCGCAGGGGTCTCGGCGCGTGTGGGTGGCCCTGAGAGACGCAGCCCTGAAGGCCCGGGCACACGGGGGCATGTGCCCCCCTGGGCGTGTTCGGGTGGCACCAGGCAGCTTGCCTCCTCCAGCCTGGAGGCCCAGGCCTGGCTGCGTCTGCCCTCCTGGGCCCTTCTTCTTTGCCTTCGTGCCCGTGTGTCTGTCTGTCTCACACACGAGAACCTTACAGTGTTCTCGTCTGCGCCTGACCCCGAGTCGGAGTCAGCCTCCATAAATCCCAGGCTCTGTCGGCACGGGAACATCGCCCGTGCACAGAGGGCCCGGGGAAGTGCAGGCGGGCTGTAGCTCAGCAGGACGGGAACCTGGAGCCCCGCAAACGAGGGCGGGGTCTCGAGAAGTGTCAGGGCTTTCGGTTCCAGCCGCTCCGCTGTGTGGACAGGATGTTCCCTCTCCAAGGTCACCCGGTTCCCCGTGGCGTCTGCTGGAGTCTTCCTGACCCACCTTGGCCCAGCAGCTCGCTGGTCTGCCTGAGCCCCTGTTAAATCAGAAAGTGTTCACGACAGTCCACCTTCTATCAACTCCTGTGCCTGCCCTGGAGCCCGCGCCCGCTCACACGGGGTCTGGTTGGCAGGAAGGGACGAGCCCCAAGACGCGGGTGGCAGGGCCCAGAGCACCGTCTGGACGTTGGGCCTGTCTCTGCTGTGTGAGCTCATGAGCCGCTGAGCTTCCCTGTGCCTCCGTCTCCTTGTCTGAAGGGAGGGCAACCATGTCCACCAAGAGGACTGCCAGGTTGAAGAGAGTTGACCGTGCAGAATGCCCACTTCCGCCAGCCTGGCAGGGGGCAGGCGCTTCCTCGCCACCCAGGCGAAGGCAGAGGCAGTTGGACTCTGAGCTGTACCTGTGCTCCGGGCACCCCTGGGTGGGGCCGCGTGGGGAGACCTGGGTGACAGGCTCAGAGACCTCCCCGAAACCTTGCTGAGGGTCAGAAATACAATGGGAACACTGAGAGCCCAAGAAGGGCAGGAAACGTCACCTTGACCGTTTGTCCAGAGAACAGGAAACGAACGATTCCGGTTCCTCTGCTGATTGCCGAAGCCGCCGGAGGGTTAGGGACACAGAGGTCCGCCTGACCATGTTCTCCATGACGACACAGGGTAGCCTGGGTCCTGCCATCAGCCAGAAAAATGAAGTTTTAATTTGATCTTGGGTTATTTTCTCCGATGGAATGTGAGGGCAAGGAAACGATGCCCCAGCCCTGTGTGGGCACTGCCAGCTGCCCTGGGATGTGGAGGGGGTTGCAGCCTGGTGTCCGTGTGTCTGCCGCCTGCCCACCAGCCCTGCAGCTCAGGCCCAGATCAGCACGGTCCCAGGGTGAGGAAGCCAGCGTCCCGCACAGAACAGCCAGCTCTCGTGTGGAAGTGAGGGGCTTATCTGTCCTGTCCTCAGGCCTGCTCACCGCCAGCTGAGAGCCACACAGAGGGGACTCTGCAGGTCCCTAGCAGGGGACTGGAGAGCCCTCCGCCCTCTGTCATCGCGGACACCCAGCACATGCAGCTCCTGGGAGTCACCCCTCCTGTCCTTCACCCGGCCTCACCTGGATCAGACAGGGCAACAATGATACTGGACTGGAGAGACCGGTGCGAGGGGCCCTCTGACAGGTAGGCCAAGCTGGCCAGGTCGGCCCATGCCCGGCGTGCGGCGAGGAGCGACCTGGTGCCACGCAGCACTGAGCGTCTGCGCACCGCACAGGCACGGCCACTGCGGTGGGCTCTGACGGAGGCCGAGCGCAGAGCTGAATGCTCTCCCCGTGTGGTCTCGGGTGAGCCCAATGCTGTGGACTGGACTGTTTGCCCGAGTTGTACTGTGTCTGCTCGGATGGCCCTTCGCACCCTCACACCGTCCGCCTGCCCTGCAAGGGGAAGACAGAGCCCCGATCGTTCCAGCCCCAAGGACCCTCAGGACGGCCCCCACAGCATCTCTGTGCACGCTCCTTACCAGGAGTTCAGGCCCTGCGATGTCCCACCTGGACGTGCGCCGTCTGGTTACAGTGTCTCAAGCCCCAGACCCTCCCAGTGGCCTCAGGGACACACCGCCCGCCCAACATCACTATCACCTGCCCTCTGCCTCTTGCTCGAACTAACACCCGATTCACCAGAGTCCTGCCCCTCGTGGGCGTGTGCCCGTGTGCCCCTTCTCCCAGGTCTGTGTGACCTCCCTGTCTCCCTGTTCCTCATCCTGCTCTGTGTTCTGCATTCACGCATGTCCGTCACTGCCCGCTCTGCAGAAGCCGGCACAGGGACCTCTGCTCACTGACGCCCTGCCCTCCAGAGCGGGACCCGCGTGCACACTCGCTTGGTGCTCCCTGAGTGAGTGAGCAAGTGAGTGAGTGCGGCTGAGGAAGCCGAGGCGTGGGATGGGGGTCCCTGGTCACCTCACTGTGCGGCAGCTGGCAGGGAGCACCCGCCGCTCAGCCCTCTGGGCGCAGCTCGAGCAAGGGTCTGCGATGGAGCGGGCAGCATCGCTGTTGGGGTCAGGATCTGGGGCGTGTGGAGGGGCGAGATCCCTGGGACCAGTTTCCTGTCCTTTCATTTTATTGGGAACAGTTTGGGTGGTTTTTGTGTTTTTTGGTGTGTTGTTTTTTTGGTTGTCACCAAGCAAAATGCAAACTAGGTGATATTTGAGGTTCCAGCAATGAATCCCATCTTCTTACAACACGAGTGCGTCAGCGTGAAGACAGCTCACAAGCCCCCTCTGACACGGTGAAAGGGGGGAGCTGTGCCCGGGGAGGGGAGGCGGCTGGGTGGGCTGTGGCCGGCGCTCACGGCACCTGCGAGGACACGGAGGGAAGCCATGACGTCGCCGACATGCCTGGGCACAGGCACCACCCCAGGACCTGTGGGCGACGCAGCGGCAGTCGGCCTGCGGTCCTGGAGCCGTGGCGAGGTGGTGCCTGGGCCCCATGGGTTCTCCCGGTGTCTTGTATCAGATGTTTCTGTCTTGCTGTTGCTGCTCAGATGACTGAATAGATGTGAAGAAGACGCATTCCCTGAGGCGGGCCGAGCAGGTGTCAGGCCACCTGCACACCCCTGTCCTTTCCGCTGGCCACTGCCTTCCTCACGTCCTCACTGGACCCTCCGCGTCGTGGGCCACCTGCCCTCCCATTCGCTCCCCTACTTGCCCCCTTGGTCACCCTCGGACACTTCTCCATCCAGACATCTGAGGTCCCGTCCCCTGGTCTCTCCCCCCACCTACTGCTCCCAGGCACTGCTGGTCCAAACAGATTCACCAGGGGCCACCCCAGCTGCCCCCCGGCTCGTGGTCCAGGGCCCCCCTGCCTGAGGAGGTCCGTGCCTGTCCCTCTCAAAGGCTTTGTTCTCCCTGGACCAGTCTGGGTTCTTGGTAACAAACCGTAAAAATCCCCCTGGGTGATTGTCATGGCAAAAGGATGCTGTGGAAGGCTGCTGAGCACTCTGTCCTCATGTGGAGGCCTCTCGGAACTTCCAAGTGGAGCTGCCGTGCGACCTGGCCACTCCACATCGGTGTCTGTCTGAAGGAAACAGACACACGAGTTTCAAAAGACATGTGCACTCCAAGCTGTGGGTGCTAGACCTTTGGATAAGCACGCAGTGGTACATACATACAGTGGAATATTGCTCGGCCCTGAAAAAGAAGCAAAGCCGAGGAGAAGAGCCACACAGTGCTCCAGTTACCGCGCTGAGCAGCGGGCACTGCTGACCCCCAGCCGCCCCACAGGGCTCCCGGTGCATGGTTGGCTGCAGCGCATCCCAACAAGGACTAATTCAAGACAGACAGAAATCTCTTTAGTCCTCACCCAAGGACATTTTTACATTTATCATCAGATAGAGGGGGAGGGAGGGAGGAGGAGAGGGGGAGAGACACATTGACTGGCTGCCTCCTGCACGGCCCTTGGGCCGAACCGCAACCGAGGTGCGTGCCCTTGACTGGACCAAACCTGCGGCTCTGGTCCTCAGGTGAATGCTCACCGCTGAGCCAAACTGGCCAGGGCTGAGAAAAAAAATTTTAAAGCCCTTCTAAGATGTGACTTTTTCATGCGGAACGCTTCACGTAGAATAGCACTCTGTTTTAATCTGCCCTTCACCTCTGTTTTCAAGGTGCTGTGCAACGGGCCAGGGACCTGTGTCCCCGTCTGTGCTTCGGCCCTTCTGCTCGGGGTCCTGGGCATTAAGAGAGTGACCATCGTCTATGTGGAGAGCATCTGCCGCGTGGAGCACCTGTCCCTGTCTGGGAAGATTCTGCAGCACTTCTGTGACCACTTTGTTGTGCAGTGGCCGCCGCTGAAGAAGAAGTATCCCAAGTCTGTGTACCTCGGGCGGCTTGTGTGATGAGGTGACAGATTTCTGTGTGGTTCTGCAGCCCACCTCACCCACCTGTGCCCTGTGAGCCTTCTGACAGCCCGAGAGCTGCTGGCCGCCGGGTGCAGACAGCCCAGCGAAACCACGAGGCTGCTCCGTAAACACGTGGACAGGCCCTCGCGTGTCCCCTCTGTGCAGACAGCGGGCTGCTCTCTGCACCACGTCCACCTCTGCTTCTGACTTGTGTCTGTCCTGCTCTCCTACGTGTGGACGTCTGATCGGGACGTTCCGTCCTGCAGCCTGCCGCGTCCTGCACCGCGGAAGGAGTGAGACGAAGGTGCGCCGTCGTCTGCCCCGTGGCGCAGGCGCCGCCCCGCAGGGCGGAAGGAGTGAGGGAAGGTGCGCAGGCGCCGCCCCGCAGGGCGGAAGCGGTTGCATGAGGCCGGCTTCCTGTTGGCCTGCTGTCCGCCGGCGTCCAGGGCCCTTTCTGTTCTCCGGCTTTGTTCTGCCCTCTTCTGAAATCTCATTTAATTGCTGAAATAAATTAAAAGAGGACCATTGTCATGGTAATGAAAACACGGGTTGGTTTGTCAAGAATCTAAACCCGCAAATCATTTTTAAAGGCGGCTCACGACTCCACAGGGCAGGTCGCCGCCGTCTGCCCTCTCCAGGCGGGAGGCGCCCCGGGACGTTTCTGTGGGCGCTGGCCTGTGCTAACAGCCCCGCCCCTCGAGGCAGGGCCTTGGTTCGCGGCCGCCTGAGCGCCGTGCGCGCTGAGGCCCCGTCCACGCCTGGCGCCGGGCCTGGCAGGCGGCTCCCGGGAAACGGGGTCCAGCCCCTCGTCTGCGCCGCGCTCCTTCACAGGCAGCGCACGAGCAGGAGACCTCTTGTCACAGTTGAGGTTTTTATTTTTTCCTCAAACCTTTTTCCAAGTGTGACAGATGTGATAGGGACCAGGTGAGAGGTGATGCAGAGCTGCTCTGGGGAGATGAGCCCTGATCACCCGACAGGACGTGCAAGTAAATGCACAAGCTGGCCCAGCCGCCTTGTTTTTCTAAGAATCTCCTTGTCCTTGTCGGCACATCGTCGGCAGGACGCTCCCTCGGCTTCGGGGTGGAGGGACTCGAGGCAGGTCGCTCGGAGCTGTCTGGGTGCAGCGGCCGGAGGGCAGCCCAGGGGCAGCTCCTCCTGCCTGACTGCGCAGAGCTGGGGCTGCGGCTGTCTCCCGGACACAGGCCTGGCATCTGGAGCCGGAGCTGATGGGACACAGCCTCTGCTGTCCTGGAGGGAGCGGCCTGGAGCCAGCACAGCCTGCGTCCGCCCCGACGCCCTTCGCTCTCGCGGTGTCCGAGGTGGCACCAGTCCATGTGAACGTGGACTGACTGTTCCCTCGGTGGCTGCTGGTCTGCCCAGGCGACTCCAGCTCCACAGGCAGCCCTGCCACAGGCTCCTGCCAAGCCAGGCCATGGTGCTCGGCAAGACCGCTGTGGAAAAGAACTGTGGTTTTTCCAGAAATATCTGTCCTGGATGTTCTGGTTGGCCTGGCATTCCAGAGACACAACCATGTGCTACGAAGTGTGGAAATCCCCGGGCTCAGGCTGCAGAGACACATCCTCACACCTGGCGGGTCCGACTGTTTGGTGAACTGTGTCCTCTGCTGTCGCTGTGAGCTCCTGAGTCCCGGTCACTGGAGCAGGGGCTCGGCTTCCACCTGCGCTGTCTGGGCGCTGAGAGGGCCCGGCCTGAGCCCGCGCGGCCGGTGTCCTTTCCGGCTGCTCTGTTAGCACAGGGACGCAGCTTTACGGGAAGAGGCTGTTCCTGCAGGTCTGATTGCATCAGCCTCTGAGCGGCGGGCAGGGAAACCACACATCCTGCCCATACCTACTTCCCTGGAAGATTTTATCTGCAGCTCAGCTGTCCTCCAGGCCTGGGCAGCCGGCCAGCGCCGAGAGTCCTCTGCTCCCCACAGGACGCCCAAGCCCCCCAGGAGGCCACGGCCTGGAAGGAGGAAAGCTGGGACCTGGGTCAGCAAGAGGACAGCTGTGCAGCTGCAGACTGAACAGAGAGGTCCTGCTGGAGAGGGCGGAGCCCAGCGGCCTTCCGCAGGGAAAGGGCACCCCCTCACACTGCAGTGCCTCAGGGTGATCGCTGCTCTCTTCCCTCTGAGAAGCCCCAGCAAGAGGTTTGATAGCAGAGCACTGAGCGTCTTTTATCCGCAGCGAGGTCGTCGTCATGGGTGTGGAAGGTCCCCCTCACCCTCCCCACACAGCGCAGTGTGAGGACGCTTCCCATTCAGCCCCGGCCACGACCCCAGCTGACTGTTCAACACACATCCCGTCTTGCTTGCTCAGTGTTTGAGGAACTGAGCCCAGAGAGATTTCTTGATCCAAGATGTTGCTACTGGAAGGCGGCAGAGCTGGGACTGGAACCGAGTCGCACAGGCGGGCGCTGGACCGCAGGGCGGGCGCTGGGGCCAGAGGTGGGAGGTCAGCTCGGGCCCCAAAGAGAGGGCCGCTCCGCGGAGACCAGCAGGCTGTGTCCTGGGTGTGTCCACTTGTCCTCCTCACCTCTCAGCTGCCCCGGGGGGTCTGCCTGGCCCCAGCACGGTCTCCGGGCAGCTCCGGGACTGGCCGCTCGCAGCCATGGCGAGCACAGCTCGCGCCGTCACTCCCTACGCCTGTGTGCAGAAGCCCGAGGAAGGAAGAGACGATGTCGGAACTGTTCCTTCAGAGTCACCTTCCTCGTGCCCTTGGTCGCCCCGCCTCAGTCAGGACAGAATGTGGGCACCCACCAAGGGTGACCTCCCACACCTTCCGACTGTTAGTGTCCCCCGTCTTCATGGTTCTCAATCTGGTCTTGGGACCTCGCACTCTGGTGAAGTGTGGGTGACTCCAGCGGGTTCCCTTTGTGCGGGCTGTGTCCATGCTCACCACACTGGGATCCAAACATGTCTGCACAGCAGCAGCCAGGGGCACGCCCACTCACCTCAGAGCACGCTGTCACCACGTCACGTGGCGCCTGGGGAACTGAGACCCTGAGACGGCAGGAGGGAGGCAGAGGCATCTTAGTGTGTTACAAACACAGTTGTGTCTGGTCAGTGTGGCTCAGTGGTGGAGCGTCGACCCTGCACCAGGAGGTCGCTGGCTTGATTCCCGGTCAGGGCACATCCCAGGTTGTGGGCCAAATCCCCAGTGGGGGGCACGCAGGAGGCGGCCAATCCATGTTCTCTCTCGTTGATGCTTCTCTCTCTCTCTCCCTCTCCTTTCCTCTCTCTCTAAATATCAATAAAGAAAAAAAATTTTTTTTAAAAAGAGAAAATAGTTCACCTCACAGACCCCTGAAGAGATCTTGGCCCCTGGCCCCCGGGCCGCACGCCGAGCACGGCTGTGCGGTGGACCGACCTCGTCTCCTCTCACCCCCGCAGTCCGTCAGGGGCCTGAGGACACAGCTTCCCTGTCTGTGCGACAGACCCTCGGTTCTGAGGCCGCCGTCCAGGCTGGGCTGCCTGGCTCTCTGCTCAGGTCTTTCGAGGCTGAGCTGGAGGTGACGGCCACGCGAGGTCCTGGTGCAGGTTGTCCCCGCGCTGGCTCAGGCGGCCCTGAGCAGAGCCCAGCTCCTGTGGCTGGAGGACTCGGGTCCTGTTTCTTACAGGCCAGCAGGAGAGCCTGTCCTGGCTCAGCTTCAGCTGAGGAGGGGCCACACCTGCATCTGTGAAATCCCTTCGGCCACAGCAGCCTCACAGCAAGGAGTGACGCCCCGTCCCCTGCATGACAGTCGTGCCCCACCCTTCAGGAGGGCACGGAAGGCTGTGGCATCGTGGGTGGGGGCGCAGGGCCAGCTGGGGTTCTGCCAACCACTGCGCCAGGGGGTTCAGTTTCGTGTTGAAAACCAGTCGTTCCTAACCTTCCACTGAGACGGCTCACGGTGCCCAGCTCTGCGCCCATCTTCGCTGGTCGGCAGCTCCAGCTGGTCCCCGCCTGGAGCTGCCGTGAGCATCACACCAGGAGACACAGGTGCTGCCGTCGCCCGCAGCTCACATCTCCCGTGGCCGAGGGGTGTCCTCAGAGGGGAAGGGGCCGGAGGGCAGTCCCTCCGACAAGCAGCCACTGCCCTGTAGGTGGCCACAGTCACAGAAAGTGGACAGTGACAGGTGTTGGCAAGGCCATGGAGACTAGAACACGCTCATCACTGCTGGGGATGGAGGTGGATCTCGGCGGGAAATCACCTGGACTTTCTGAGAAACTAGCGTGAAGTCACCAGGTGGCCCAGCACCATCCCGCCCCAGAGATTCGAAAATGCATTCACGCAAAAGCGTGTACACAAAGGTTCATACCAGCGTCACTCACAACAAGCAAAGGGTACAAACCTCCCAGACGCCCACCAGCGGGCGAACGGATGGACAGAGCGCGGTGGATCCACGCACTGGGGCACCATTCGGTCACAAGGAATAGACCTGATACAGGACGTGCTGAGACCTGGGGGCTTGTTGCTGCTCAGGTCTGGGGGGCACGATGACTCTAACAGGTGTGGGATTTCCCTTTGGGTGACGGGAAATGTTCTGGAGTTAGCGGTGATGGTTGTACAACTCCGGGAACGTACGCAAAGCCACTGAACTTGCAGTCTGTGGATGGATGGGTTATTTCTCGAGAAAACCTTATCCGTAGTAACGGCGTCTCCCATGCCTCCGTGTGTATTTGTGAGTGTGCATACAGCGACAAGGCGAACCGAAACTGAGCCAGCAGCCGGGGCAGCTCCTGGGGGCGTTCGGTTCCTCGAGATGTCCGTGCCCACGGCCACAGACTGACCCAGCCAGAGGAGCCGGAGACCGAGCCGAGTGAGCCCTGGATGCAGAGAGCTGAGCGGGAGGCCCGGGGAAGAGGCCTCGGCATGAAACAGGTGCTCCCCACCCTGGCAGAGACGCCCCTGAAAGTGTCTGACGCACTGGAACAGCAGCTGACAGGGCGGACCCTGCCTCCCAGGGCTGGCCACCAGGCGCTCTTCCCCGCAGGAGTCTGGTGCTCCCCCTGCATGCGGGGACTGGGAGGAAGGGGACGTTCTGACGTGGTTCGGGGCGCCCCAAGAACCCAGCCACCAATGCTGTGAGAAGCCCAGGCCGCTGGAGGCCGTGCGTC